ACGCCGCCAGGGACTCAAGTCCTGCAGTGCCAGACGTGTCCCCCTGCTTAAGCCAGTACATGTCCAGGCCCGTCTGAAGTTTGCTAGAGAGCATTTAGATGATCCAGAAGACGATTGGGAGAATGTCATATGGTCAGATGAAACCAAAATAGAACTTTTTGGTAAAAACTCAACTAGACGTGTTTGGAGGAGAAAGAATGCTGAGTTGCATCCAAAGAACACCATACCTACTGTGAAACATGGGGGTGGAAACCTCATGCTTTGGGGCTGTTTTTCTGCAAAGGGACCAGGATGACTGATCCATGTAAAGGAAAGAATGAATGGGGCCATGTATCGTGAGATTTTGAGTGACAACCTCCTTCCATCAGCAAGGGCATTGAAGATGAAACGTGGCTGGGTCTTTCAGCATGACAATGATCCCAAACACACCGCCCAGGCAACAAAGGAGTGGCTTCGTAAGAAGCATTTCAAGGTCCTGGAGTGGCCTAGCCAGTCTCCAGACCTCAACCCCATAGAAAATCTTTGGAGGGAGTTGAAAGTCCGTGTTTCCCAGCGACAGCCCCAAAACATCACTGCTCTAGAGGAGATCTGCATGGAGGAATGGGCCAAAATACCAGCAACAGTGTGAAAACCTTGTGAAGACCTACAGAAAACGTTTGATCTCTGTGATTGCCAACAAAGGGTATATAACAAAGTATTGAGATGAACTTTTGTTATTGACCAAATACTTATTTTCCACCATAATTTGCAAATAAATTCTTTAAAAATCAGACAGTGATTTTCTGGATTTTTTATTTTTTATTTTGTCTCTCGTAGTTGAGGTATACCTGATGAAAATTACAGGCCTCATCTTTTTAAGTGGGAGAACTTGCACAATTGGTGGCTGACTAAATACTTTTTTGCCCACTGTACGTGTCTTTTGTAACCCACATCACAGGGGGTGTTTGACAATCCAGTTCTAATAACCCCTGAGTCCCCATGAACTGAGTTACGAATAGCTTTACTGAATGATCTCTAATACACCCTAAAACATATATTGGACAATAATTATGTATAACATAACAGTTTTATTTTATTAAACATACTTTTAACTGATATTTAAAGCTTCATTGGTTGTTTTTACAGGCTTGCTCTTATTTTGGAAGTTATCGTGTAGGCTAAATGTTGTTTAATTTGTGTAACTTGACCTGGTGTGGCACTCTCCTCCCTGTTGCTATGGAAACAGGGCCGGTCCAGGTGGAGCCTGACTGGCGTCTGTCGGTCACGTGGGGTCTCTGAAGGAGCAGTGCAGAAAGTAGTGTGTCTGCATCACGTTAACAACCTGTTCCCCGAGCCTTCTCCTCCGGTACCGGATAAACAGAAAGTGATAATGACGGTGGCGCGCGTTGCTTCAGATTCAGCTTTCAACGCGAACATGAGAGGAGTCGCCATGGAATACAAATGAGTATTTTATGGATGCTTTCTTTAAGGAATTATCCTGTTTCTTCGTGCTGACAGTTTGCGGTATTTTCTCAGCTGTTTAATCCGACTTTCTCCCCAGGCTTCAGGAGGAGCGCTTGCGCGTTGACGCCAGCAAAACCTCGCGAGCACCGGGCAGGGACGCGGTAGGACATGATGCATCATGGAATCTGAGCAGCTGCACTTTAAGCAACAATTCCGTGAGTAAGGTCATGGGCAGCAGCAGAGACTGACTGAGGGTCGTTGTTTCCCGTTAATGTGTGACTTTGGTGCACGTGGTACCCGCAGCTAGAGGACCGGGGGGACGGGGCGCGCTGTGCTGTGATGCGCCATCTCATCCCGGGGGTCAGTTTTGGTTTCTCAAGCAACACCTGCTCCCTCCCACCATGGCTCGCTTTGAAGAGGACCTGGCCGGCCGCTACGGAGGCGGCGGCCCCGCGGGCCCGACCAGAGGGGTCAGTCGGCTGCCGGGGGTCCCGAGGGTGTACAAGCAGACGATGGCCCAGAGAGCCCGGACCATGGCGATCTACAACCCCATCCCCGTCAAACAGAGCTGCCTCGCCGTTAACCGCTCTCTGTTCATCTTCAGTGAGGACAACATCATACGGAAATATGCCAAAAAGATCACCGAATGGCCATATCCTTTACAGTCAGTTAGACCGACCAGCAGAGGTTCTATCCCGGCTCTACCGCGGGATCATTCAGCCAAGCTCCGCGGGAATGTGTCAGAGGCCCATTGCTTACCGGTAGAAAATACATACATCTAAGAATTCAGACACTATCTCAAATGAAATTAAAGGATATATATTTTCATTCAGCACATGTGCAATATGCAAAGAGGCGTTTTAATCAGTGAAATGTAAAACGAGTTGGTTCTCCTTGTGTTTCCACAGCCTTAAATACAGAGGGAAGTGCTGCTGCAGAATGAGAGCTCCTCAGTTCCTCTTCTGTTGATATACATTCAGCTCTTACAATTTTCATCAAAGCACCCCGGCTAGTCTCTTGACAGGAAGAGAATCTCAGAGAGCCACATTTCTGATGTAGTTCGGCATAATGTTTTAATATTTCATTGATTAATTATTACCAATCTGCTGGTCACAACAGGCATCATGCCATTCATACTCCGGCTGACTGACAGTGGGTTGTGATTGAGAGTAGTAGGCCTACATCAAGGCTGTTAGTTGCTTAATGTACTTCATGATGACAGCGTTGTGTGCAGGTTTCATGAAGGCTGCAGGCTGCAGGTGGAGCTGTCCAGGGTGCTGAATCCCAGCAAACAGCTTCTAGGCGGTGGCAAACTGCATGGGTGTGACACCAAACAAACAAGCTGTCAATAAAATGACATTGAGCAAAGAACACAATGATGTTTTTTTCCATTTCTCATTGAAAATTGTTATGTATTGTGGTGGGAGTGTGTTTGCATATCTATAAACCTTTGTGTATGCTTTCCATGAAAGTTCCTTAACACTTTCACTCCGTTTGAGTACATGATCCTGGCCACCATTATAGCAAACTGCATCGTGCTGGCCCTGGAGCAGCACCTGCCGGCCTCAGACAAAACCCCCATGTCCGAGCGCTTGGTGAGTGGACACGACCGCTTCCTTTTCCTGTAGGCTCCTCATGTCTCTTCCATGGAAAGGATAGTTTACTGACTGACATCTGTGATGCTTCTCGTATCTGTCTCGTATCTGTCTGCTGCAATCATGAGATCAACATGTGCCGTGTTTACCCCCCCCTTATTTTCCAGTCTTTGTGTTACATCGAGTTCTGCAGGAATCAGTCTTTAAAGCCTTTAATGAGTGCACATTTTTCCACTTCTGTCTCCCTGTCCTGAATTCAATGACTTTTAAATGGCTGAAATACGTTCAGTGGTCAACAGTCACTTAAGAGGTTTTCAAATATTTTCTACAAAAGACAAAACGTAAATACCCCACTTATACATTTTGATAAACTTAAAAACAATTCCTGGCTAAATGTGACTTTAGAGTCATTACTAGTCTGCCTTCTCATCCTCCTTGTGTGCTCTCACAAACTGCCTTAGCTCAAACAGTTTCTATATTTATCAATGTGTTCTTTTTTCCTGTTGCAAAATGAAATATAACTATTAGCGTTTCACTTTTGGCAATTACATTTACGTTTTAGGTGTTGATCTTTTGTAAATGTATCATTACCTTAGATTACTCTTGTTAAGTCAACCTTTCTCAGAAGCCACATCAGCACTCAAATGGTTTCAGATATTCATCAGACTGTACATGATAAGGAAACAGCCGACCCTGGTGTCTGAGAAGCTGCTATCATTAAAATGGTGGCCAATTCACTTCCTGTTGAATTATGTATCATAACCGACCAATGGTTTCCATCAAAAACCCAAATGGCGTTTGTGTTGAAATTTGAGTTGAGTTGCCAGACTTTTAGATTTTTGTCAGGACAAGTCTATGGGCATCGAATGTGGTCCAAGTTGTGGGACTCAAGTCCATACCTTTACAGACTACAGCCTGACATAGGCTGGCTCAATCAAGTTTCATTGACACAACCAGCAAGAGATATATAATTTCATGATCCTCCCTACTCTGCTTTTTCTAACAGGACGACACAGAGCCCTACTTTATTGGAATATTTTGTTTTGAGGCTGGCATCAAGATCATCGCTCTGGGCTTTGCCTTTCACAAAGGCTCCTACCTGCGTAGCGGCTGGAATGCAATGGACTTTGTGGTAGTCCTAACAGGGTGAGTTCGCGCGTGTGTGTGTGTGTGTGTGTGTGTGTGTGTGTGTGTGTGTGTGTGTGTGTGTATGTGCGTGCGTGCGTGCGTGCGTGCTATATATAGATAAGATGCTGCTCTGAGAGGACGCCTCCCTCTGATATTCAGAGAGGGGGGGTCACATCAGGACAGCTGGGGGAGGGCTGACTTTTATGCAAAGTCAGATCTCTTGAATACCAAGTGTCCCTTAACAGTTCAATTTCTGAGTCTGAGATGAAGGGCTAAATACAAATATAATTGAATTGAACTTGGGAAAACTAATGTCAATTTGTCAATTTTTGTGAAGAAAAAAGAACAGGAATGGAGAATTAGAAGTATTAGTATCATCACTGTGTGATCAAAACTCGCGGCAGGGGAAGCCAACCCACACAACACGCCACTTTACTGAGCCAAACAACAAATATGTCATACCTTTTGCTGTTTTCTGATCAAAAATTGTGTTCAATGGCATTACAACGATAAAAACGCTTTTTTGAAACGATTACTGATAATCCATCATTCCATTTTTGTCAAAAACTGAGATTTGTTGTTGTTTTCATATAGAGTGTGTGAGGAACACAGCTTCTGGTTTTGGGCGTGCTGGCATGCATTCACCAATGGTAATGTTTAGATGGATTTTAGGAACCTCCCCTCGATTCTATTGGCTCTAACGGTTCAAAAGAGGTGTCAATCATCAAAATCGACTGACGGGTCAGAGATATGGCAAATCCATCCAAATGACCCCAGAAATGGTTTTTTTTTTCTAAATCTCTCTAAAAAGGTCAAATGTCACTTGTTTTGCATCAATCTTGATACAGGGTACTTATTATATGTTCTAGTTTGATTTCCTAAAGCTTTTAGTCAACTAACTCATC